CTCCCAAAAAGGCAACTTTTGGGAGAGCACCTCTCCAAGCAAAAGAAAGAGTCGCAGTAATAGCTTCAGTAATGGATCTGGGACGAGACTAGAAAGTTTCTCACACATCGTGTCAGTATGAGCGGGGGACGTGGCCTAATGGATAAGGCACCAGACTTCGGATCTGGGGATTGTGGGTTCGAGTCCCATCGTCCTCGTATTTTTTGGATCGTTTTGGATGGATTGGAAAAGAATTGAGAGGTTTTGAAAATGAAGTGTGTGAAAATTTTCCAATTTTGATTTTTTTGGGTAGGGAATAGGTGTGATGTGTAGAAGAGGTTTTTTTCATTGTTCGATGGTGTTGATAGTTGATATATAAAAAAAAAAAAGAAAAAAAAATTTAAATGGTGGTGTTTCAGGTTATTTTGTGTCAGGTACGGAGAGAGGGAGTTTGGGGATGAAGAGAAAGAAGGGAAAAAAGAGAGGTGGATGTTTTGATTTTCTTTGTCAAAAAGGTATTTTTGTGTCTGGTACGGATAAAAGGTATAGTGATTGGTTAGTTTTTATTCAGAGGTGGGGAAGAGATGATTTGAATTTCTTTGTCAACAAGGTATTTTCGCATGTGACCTCGTCCGGTAGTTAGTTGGTGTCTCGGTAGTTGGTGTCCCAGTAATCAATGTTCCAGTAGTTGGTGTTTGTGCTCTTTTCGAAACAAAAGGTGTTTTTTTTTTTGACAAAGCCAGCTTTCAGAGGGGGTTGCGTATATATATATAGTCAGTTCTTACTAGGAGGATGATCATGTACTACAAAGACATCCAAATCTAGACTAATTACAACGCGTTTAATTGGAGTACCTTAGTTATGATGTATTAGTTCGTTTCACCTAGACAATGTACCATAACATATACAAATGCATTTATGCTGTATGAGCGCTCAGTCTCGGAACAAGCACAACCTATCAGTATCGTCTTGTACAGCTCAAACGTCAATGGATGATTAAACGCAACGTGTTCATTCGTCCAACGTATCGTTTGGAAGAGTACTACTAATTTGCAACTCTTCTGGACGTCCACCATAGATGTCCCAGTAATCGGTGTCCCAGTAACCGGTGTCCCAGTAGTGGGTGTTTGTGCTCCCCTCGGGACTTTTTGACAAATATAACTCCAAGGGAAAATGTGGACTCGAGAATGGTTATATACTATAGAATGTTCGAATTTTCATTATGGTTTTTTACCCATCCACTTGAATTAGTTGTGTTGACATGTCAAATTGAATCGATCAATCGGTAAATTGTTGATGCTGTACCAAGTCTTAGAGAAGTCCTGCCAATCTTCACGTATTTAATCGTCCATTGACATCCGCGGCTGTCTTCTCGGTAAACGCGCCCCACCATATGGCGAAAGAAGGTCGTAATCCAGGGGCTGATAGAAGGCCATGAGCTCGTAGGAGGTATTTTTGCCTCAAGGCACCATGTTGGAGAGGTGGGCGCCATAAAGCTTATCCTCGGCACGCGGATGGTCGCACAAATGCCTTGTCATATCAAATTGCTTTTGAGGACTGAAATACGACCCTCCCCCATCAGATACATCTCTGTCGTGTCCAAACTACTGTGTCCTAACATTAGTTCAAACTACCCAGCAGCGTTTATTGTCACAAAACAACGCCGCTATTTCGAACAAATAATGCATATCATAAACTAACACGTCTTGTCTATTTCAGAACCCTCACCGCTCTTTTTGAAGAATTCAGTGTCCAAACTACTATGTCCAAGCTAACTCAAACTACCCAGCCGCGTTTCTTGTCACGGAACAACGCTGCTATTTCGAATAACTAGTACATATCATAAACTGACACGCCTTGTCTACCTCAGAGCCCTCGCCGCTCTTTTTCAAGAATTCAGTTTGATCACGCCTTGTTAATATAAAGTCAACAGTTACACGTCAAATCGAAACAATAAGGCATGGGGCATTGCCGTAAACAGATACAAAAATACAAATATAAAAGTGACTAGTGACACAACGGTCCATTTCCTCTGGACATAGGCCCTTTCCAAAGATTGCAACGCCTCATTGGTTTGTGCACTCCACCCTGGTTTCTGTTCCATTATAGTTCGAGAACCTAATCCTACTGGTTGACTAGTCATGTTAAAAATAAAACTCAGTATGATCATCCTGGTGTTCTCTCCACTTTTTTTTCATTTTTCTTACATGGCTAATGCTGGATCATTGAATATACCAAGCCGAAGAAATTGCTCCATCGTTGCTTTGAGAACGCGAACCTTTTGTTGACACTGCTGAAGCTGGATACCAAGTTGTTCAACCTCGCGATGTGGCCTATTTCTTTCTTCCGCGAGTTGCCGATGAATTTCTGCCAGTTCCTTTTTTAGCATCTGGTTTTCGCACGTCATTTTACTTGAGGAGTAATTGTTATTCAAATGACATGATGCGATGTCTAGTTAATTTACCAGATATCCTCATTTGCCTGATTGAGTTGAATAGTGGAAGATGAAAGTTTTTCGAGGTATTGCTCCTTACTTTTCTACTGCAAGTATTCAATAGGCATGTATTTTTCAGACATGACAGTTATAACCTCCTCAGCTTCTGCCTTTTTATGCCATTGTTTACTTTCCGCATCCAAATCGTCGGCATACTGGCAGAGGTAGGCAATGTCTTTATTACAAGCTAAAGAAAAAGGTCAAATTCATGTTTTCTTTTGTTCGCAACTTGCCTTCCTTTTGCCTTTGCAACACCTTTACAATTGCTTGTTCTCGTGCTATTCTAGAGTGCAACGCTTCCATTCTCTCTTGATCACTTGCAATATCTGCACCGGTGGAGTCACCAACATCACAGTGTTGATCACTCGTCGTGCTAGCAGACCAACTGGTATCTGATGTGACGCTTCTTGAAATAGATGCTGAGGATACAGTCAGATCTATCTCCGACAGGCAGTGCATCGCCTTTTTGTTGGGATGTTGCTGCAGGATGGCTGGGCTCCTTGCATTGGATGTTTGTACCGTGCTGCTGTGTTTTGATTGATGTCTCTGATCTTGTGCATTTGATCCGTCCGCTCTATGTTCATTGTTGCTGCAGTCGGGAAATAGCACCAACTTTTTCTTTTCTGGTGCAAGAGATGTTGTTCGTCGAAGGATTGGTCTACGCACTATTTGGTCTTTTTGGAAGGACGTATGGGATAGGGTTCGTTGCCGTTCTGCTTTTTTTGGACGAATGCTTATGCATTCTTGCTTTTTCTCGTCTAAAAATTGTTTAGCAGTAATAATGAATGCCGATAAACCACTTTACCATGGCGGCCGCGAACAGAGGATGCAAGCAATGGACTAACAAGACAGATATATCAGATGTACACTCTAAAGCTGATTTGTAGAAAAATAATGGATTGATAATACTGGACAATGAGCTATATTACCTAGGTCGCTTGGTCCTTAATTTTTGTGGTTCTGAATTATGTATATTCATGCCCGGGTAAAAAAAAAAAGATGTATACCAACAGTGGAAAACAGAATATTACTAAAGATGGCTGCCGAGACTTTGGCTTTTTGTGGACCAGATTTTTTTGCCCAGTTGCAGATGGTATCTCGACTGTTATAAAAAAAAGTTTGTGTGTGCGTGTGAGAAAGAGAGAGGGGAAAAGAAGGCAAAGGCATGGAGGTGCCTTGAAAGTGCAGTCAAGGGGGAAAAAAATCACACGTAGTTGGTGCGTGCGGCAGGGGTTAGAGAAATGGGAGACCGAGCAAGTTCATGGTCGTTTTGTTGAATGCATTGCAACTTGTTAGTCGATGCATAGAGCTTTGCTTCCTACCAGCACCAAAATACAACAATCAGTGACCAGACTCCCAGGCATTCCAGAGGCAACCATAATCGTACTACAAGTTTCAGTAAAACAAAACGACTTTCTCAGAAATAAGCAACACGGTTGGCTCGACAGATGCCATGGCGATTACTCTTGTAATTCAGGTTAATGTTTTTAAAAAAAAAGTGGAAAAATAAATAAATTATCAGCACACACCAACAATACAGCTAGATTCAAGATAGTTTAAAAACTCATTGACATCAAGCAGTGGTTTACAATGCATATGGTATAAAATACAACTATTTGTGGATAGTTGTTTAGGCAGCTTTGTTTTGTTTGCATCAACTTGCTTTAATTTTTCTAGGATGACAGCCTGGTTACTTTCCATTCCCCCCATCTGATTAGAATACAACACTTGCAGAATCTGTCGAAACGAACTGGTTTTTGAAATGGAACAACAGGGCTTTTTCAAGCTGTTGCTTTCGATAGTACAGCTCAATAAATGTTTCTTGCCTAGAAATATGAAGAAAATACAAAACTGTGCAGCGCCTGCATAATCTTTTTTTTTTATATTAACAACACAAAAATATTTCCAGCATACCGTCTGTTATGCTCACGCTATATGAGAAGCAAACAGCTAATCATTTTACTGATTTCCGGAAATCTTAAGGTTGACGAAGCGAAGATGAACAATGTGGTACTGGTCTCCCTTGCTATGCTTCATTTTTCATAATCTTAAAATGAAATAAACTATATATTGGATCCTTTCGACCTTTCTATCGTGTGCAATCAATCAAGCGTTTTGCTTTTGGAATGTGATTTCGACCAGGTACTTGCAATACCATGGGCTGGGTCGTACCACATAACTCGTCTTCGTTTCGTCAACCTTTCGATTGCGTGTCGTTCTTACTCCAACCTGGGTTGACTCCACTTCAATTTTGGATGTACCGGTTTGAAGTAGAATTTCTCAAACGTGTCCAAAGCAAGACACCGATTGGCGTGTTTCTTTAACATAGTTATCTTGTGTCCCATTTGTACTGCCTTTATACTGGCGGCTGATCTGACAGAGTGTGATAGGAAGATAAGGAAGACCTCAACCTGGATGACTTTTTGATGAATGCAAGTAATGTAGTGACAGGACAAACACTCTTGATTGATATCATCCCCAGATGGGAATGTTTGACTTGTGATTCTTTTAGTGCGAAGATGAACAGCGTAACCCTGGAGACTTCACCAGCTGCATCATATCCAAACGCAATATCACGACATTGTAACGTGCCTATGTCTGATCCAAGTCTCCACATGGTCGCTATGCGTAATAATGCCATCGTCTTGTGTTGTAGTTATTCCAGTGACAAGATCTCTGTATCCGCATATTTTTCCCGACCATCTCACGTTTCCAGCTGTTGAC